CCCAGCATGAGCAGTTTATCAACTTGTTCAAATTAACCCTTCCGGAACACTTACTTAGCTCTTTCTGCTCTGTCTTTTAAACATGTGTTGACAGAAGTTGTCCTTGACCTCTCTTATCTCACTAGTTAAGGGTTCTGAAGTCATTTTAATGGCTTTCAATAAGTATAATAAATAAACGAATGCTGTTTAGTTGGCCAAATTGAACTGAACTATCTCATTAGGTAGATACAACTCTAAGAGATTATATAGATGCCCTCTTTATTCTTCATTCTCAGTCTTTGAAAATTTATCTTTTGAACTGCCTCTTCAAAATATTTATTAAAAGTAATTATTGTTCTGAAAATCTATTTCTTAAATTCCTATCACAATCCTCATAATTACCCACACTGGAAATGTTAACACTATCTTTTTTTCTTTTTTTCTTTTTGATTTTTCGAGACAGGGTTTCTCTGTATAGCTTTGGAGCCTACCCTGACACTAACTCTGTAGACCAAGCTGGCCTCGAACTCACAGAGATCTGCCTGCCTCTGCCTCCCAAGTGCTGGGATTAAAGGTGTGTGCCACCAATGCCCGGCAACACTACCTTTTATTTTCCCTTCTTACTGAATCTCTGTGTGGAACAACTCAACACCAGAACTGGAAACCCCAGCATGATGTTTTACTGTCAGCTTCATGGTTGTTCCCAAACACTAATTCATCCAATTTCAGCATCAACTCTGGTTAAAAAAAAAAGTCCCACTTCCATTACATCTCCTTCAGGTTTTCCAAGTTAAACAACTATTGTTCCTCCAAAAGACTATTTTGTTAATGACTCTCTTACAAACTTAATATATTTGTGGTTTATTCACATATCAAATGCATTTTTATTTTGTAGAGTATAAGACTTTTAAGAATAAAAGAATTGGTAAAGGATCTACTGACTTTCCCAGTATACAGTATTTTGTTAAACCATCAACACACATAATAATGTAGGAACTACTGAAGAAAACAAAAGAAATAGCATAGAGCCCTTTGAATTTTCGGGTTGAAAAGCCATCACAGCAACTAATTCACAGGATAGCTTCCAAGGTCAAATATAAAAGGTAAAATGGCCCTTAATTCAGGTCAAGGACACTACTTTGACTTCACTATGCCACTGCCATATCAATCAGTTGCCACTTGTAGTAGTTAAAACACACTGCTAGCCTTTAGTGAATTCACGCCAAACACACATCTGATAGAACAGTCTTCTTACTTAGCCTGTTTCTGACCAAAGCTTGTTTGAATTAACTGACATTTGGAGAAGTTAAGGGGCCATGCTAACCTGCAATTCTCTGTAAAGTATCAAGACTGTTAATTCTGATCTTCACAGAACTTTATTTTATCTTATCTTAACATTGTGCCATCAGTTTTTATAAAAGCTGTATCATTGACTTTTGTGCCTTTTATGTGTGTCAACTACATACTTCATGTATGAAAATGTCTGAATATAATCCTAGCACTCGGGGGCAGAGACAGATGGATCTCTTAAGTTTGAGGCCAACCTGGAGGGAATTCAGGACAGCCAAAGCTACACAGAGAAACCCTGTGTTGGAAAACCAAAAGAAAGAAAGAAAGAGTCTGAGTATAGATTAGATTGGTCTAAGGACAGAACGGATAAGAAGATAAGAAATGCAGCTACAAGAGATCAAAGAATCACAGTAGCTTCTAGCATCACTAAATGGGGATCCTTCACAGTACACATACACAGCTGAATCACATGAAATTGATAATGTTCAACTGTCTTTAGCTTTTGAAAAGAGCAGTTCATACAGTTTACTCACTGGTTAAACATACGGTAATGAGTTATACCATTCAAATCATCCTATAATTAGCAGCACACACATTCATCTCACTTGTCAAAGTAATGTGCTCTCTCAACTCCCAGGGCAGAGGATGGCCTTCTGTAGGATGACTACCTCTTGTTTCAGCTTCCAGGAAGCTCAATGATAAATTCAGTACTTAGTGTTAATAATTCTCTCAGCAACTGTTTTAATATTGTTATGTCTGTTTATTCTTGTTTGATATTTTTTAATTTTATTGATCCACATGTATGACTTTCTGAAAGTAAATATAAATGGCTAGTCACCTATACTACTGCTGATACACTGGTGATTGTCCATATAGATACTGGAGGGGAAGAGGCAGAATGCTACCCCTTTCTTTTTATTTAAATATTCTTCCTTTTTATTGAAAAAAAAATGCCCTCACATAATTTACTTTAATTACAGTTTCCCCCCCTCCACTCCTCCCAGTTCCTCCTCACCTCCCTCCCATCCAGATCCACCCCTTCTTGAAAGCCATGGTGAAACACCAAATGCTGTAACTAACTCTCAAATTATCCAGAAAACTGTTGTTTTTAAATGAGGAAAACTGCATGTACGTATGTGTATATGGAAAGGCAAAAATAAATAGCTTTGATGAGAGGTAGCAAGAGAAACAAGTAGCAAGAGACTGAAGATATAGATCAGTGGTAGCAAGCTTGCCTAGCCTGTGTTAACAAGGCCCAGTTCTCTCACTTACTCCCTCCCTCTCCCCTAACCCCGTTTTTGTGTGTGTGTGTGTGTGTGTGTGTGTGTGTGTGTGTGTAGCATGTAGGAATTAGGGAGGAAGAAAGAGGGAAGCTCTACCATAATGTGTCAAACTGCACAGTTTTACATGTCAAGCACAGAAATGTACTGTGACGTGTTTATTTAGTTAGGATGTAGCACTGAATAACTCAAGCTGTCAATCTGTCTTATGGTCCAGTGCTCTTACAACTATTTGATATAGATGCAAGCCTAACCACACAGGATACACAAAAACAAGGAAGGCCCAGAGGTGGGAAACTCAGGACCAGGGTAGATGCTCTAAACTATCTGGAATAAGGTCAGTTGTAGATGTGGAAAGGAGTAAAATAAAGCAGCAAGAAAATAGATGCACAGAGCATACTGATATATTAAAAGGAAAAGCAGGAATAGCACTAATTTAGAGGCTAAAAGACATTGAAAAACATTAAGACTAGTATTCATACAAGAAAAACTATAGATCCATAGGATAATTCACTTTGAGATGTGTATACTGTTCGGCTCTAACGTCCCAGTCATAAATGAACTATATTTATATCAGTGTGATATCCAGCTGGGCAGACATAAATAATGAACTATATTTATATCAGAGTGCAGCAAGATACTTGTCCTTTGTGTTCCTGATACATTCCCAAGTGATTTGAGTAGTACTGGGCAGTAAACTTTTGCTGGGCAAATGATGTCCTTATAAGTCACCCATGTGTAAGATAGAGGAAACAAACATGAAATTCAGTTACTGGTGACACGAAGAGATACTTGCTTTGCATGCCTTTAAGAAAGCATACATATGTAATTAATGTCTCTAACCCCCAAGCCTATTTACAGAGCTCTACCTGGGCTTTTGAGTATAAACTCCAAATCGTCTTTTTTCCTTTCCATATATCTGTACAAAATCTTATGGGGAAAATGGTAGACAATGGCTACATCATCATTTAATACCATCGAAGCATGTATGATCATTCCTAAGAGACGTAATCTGAACTCAGCTGGGTCCAAAGATGACCACCATACTGCCTGGCTCTACCTCAGCCTACTAAAATTTTGTAGTTATGGGCCATAGTATCTATGATTTAAGACATCTTCTGGGTGATCATAAAGTACATCAAAGAAACAAAATAACTTATTTAAAGGTACAAACCACCCCTTCCCCTGATTTATTATTGTTTTTTGAGACAAAGTCCTGCTATATATGTATATATGTACATAGCTCAGGATGGTCTAGGGTTGGCAATGCTTGGGTCTTGTTCTTGTGAAATATTTTAACTAAGCAAAGCTGTGTTACATTTGTTTTTGCTGTCTTTGTTAAAATGTAAAGATGTGTTACATTTGTTTGTACTGCATTTGTTTAACTATGTAAAGATCTGTTGCATTTGTTTCACCCTGCCTGCCTAAGGCACCCGATTGGTCTAATAAAAAGCTGAATGGCTAATAGCTAGGCAGGGAGGAAGGATAGACAGGGCTGGTGGGCAGAGAGGATAAATAGGAGAAAGGAGAGAAGAGAGAAGACAGAACAAGGGAGAAAGAAAGGGACACCCCTGGAGCCAGAATCCAGCCAGACATGAGAAGCAGTGAAAGTAAGATAGACAGAAAGAAAGGTACATGAAGAAAAACAGATTACTTTAAGTTAAAGAAAGCTTGCCGAAGATAAATAAATAAATATAAATAAAAAAAACGAGCCTAAGCTAAGTCAAGCATTCATAACTAGAAAGATGTCTCCATGTCATGATTTGGGAGCTAATTGGTGGCCCAAATGAAAAAGGCTGTTACATCTTGTTTCCAAAGTTTCAGGATTAGAGATATGCACCACCACAATAGAACATTTGTTTGATAAAATAGCTACCTTATACTTACAGTCATTCTTCAAGGTATGGCTTACTACTTACCAACCCAAATACATAAAACTCTTGTAATAAGCACAGTACATGTAACATATAGTCACAATTTAATTATTCAGCAATCATACAGCAACACTACTCACAAAAATGTTAATAAACAGATAAAGAAATGTGGCACATATCTAGAATTAAATACTAAATCTGTCATTTCTATCAGCCTGGGTGATCTAAAAATTATTATGTCCAGGGAAAGGCACAAAAATCAAGTATAACTGTTATGATCTTGTTCACATGTGGACTATCAAAAGAGCGACTGCATAGGAGCAGCAACCAGAGCCTGGAGAGAAGGAGAAAGGGCCAGAGGACCAATGTTACAGTCATCTGAGGAGAAAGTAGTTTTGGTGTGCTACTGCAGAAAGGGTGACTGTGAATAACATTACATTTCAGAAAGACAGGATTTTAAAGTTGCCACCATAAAGAACTAATTATTTGAGTTGAATATGATTAATTCGATTTAAACAATTATCCAATATATATTTGTATGGCAATAGTATATATTACCTCAGTAATATATACTTACTTTAATGTTTCAGCAAGAAAGAAGCTCTGCTGCACATCGTCATGTGTGGGCGTGAGGGAGTACACATCCTTCACTCCGGAAAACCCACCACTGACTCGGCAATACTTTTCAATAGCCTGTGAAGGAAAGCAGAGAAGACATTTCAATTGCAAAGCTGTGAAAAGACTGCCTTCAAAAGTTCACAGAAAGGATGAACATAATGGTCTTTAATCCCCGAATTTGGTAAGCAGACAGAGGGATCTCTGTGAGATCCTGGTCTACAAAGCGAGTTCTAGGACAGCCAGGGCTACATAGTGAGACCCCGTCTCTACCAAAAAGAAAAACACTCATTTTCTGTAGGAAAATTGGGTATTTTTGTAACTGATAATATATTAAGCCAAAGCATAGTGTTATCAAATGTAAATATTCTTATATTGGGAGAAAACAAAAAACAAAAAACTTGTACCAGAATGTCTTTCCCTAACACTACAATCTCTCTACAATAAGATTGTGTTTTCTTGACTTAAATGTCAAATTTGACCTATTCTTTCTGAATTAGGGAGCTGTCTGGCACAAATGAAGACAGAAGTAAGCTTGTAATTAAGGGTAGAGGAAATGGCTCATAAAGCATTTGTCTTGAAAAGTGAGGGCCTGAGTTCAGCTCCCCAGAATCCATGTAAAAAGCAGAGTGTAATGGTGTTCTCTGTAATTCCAACAATGGTTAAAGGCATAGGCACATGGAGGTGGATCTCTGGAGCTTGCTAGCCTGGCTAGCCAGACTAACCTAATTGATGAAGTCTTAGGCCAATGAGAGATCCTATTTAAAACATGGAAGGCACAAAAGGAACATGGGATTGTATTCTGAACTCCACATACACATGCATGAGTATGTACACACACACACACACACACACAATGAATTTCAATGTGATCATTTCCAAGAACAAATACTAATTCACAACATCCTAAAAATGTATTATTTAGGAGCTTTATATGGCAGTGGTAATAAGAGATATTTATTATAACCACACTCTATTCTGAGACATTGTATTCACACATTTCTATTAGTTAGGCACCATAGGTGGTGAGAAGTAGCAAAAAGTACACACCTACATGCCTAGACAATAATGGCAACCATTTAAGAGCTAACAATGTGCCGGCAGCCATTCTAAGAGCTTCATATGCACTGGCATTTAAATTTCATAATCCTTGGAGGTTAACTGCTCTACTTTTCAGATGGAGAAATCGAGCTGAGCAATTTGTACTCTCTTAACTACTGTTTTCTAATACCTGACTGGAATTTAAAATGCTTACTGTATACTTCTTCTTGTGTCCTTGAACATGCATAAATCAAATGTATTAAGTCAAAAACAATCTATTTACAACTCTACTTTTAAGTCAAAGCCACTGAGTATCTTGTGGGTGCAAATGTCTCCCTGGCACTTCAGAGCTGGACTGTTCAGGGAAAGCTAAAAGTATTTGAGGCTCTTCCTTTTGCTACTCTGTCTAAGCCTGAGCTACTATGCAGAGAAGGCACGGCACTTCACGCATCACTGCTGCTGTGGCTTCTTGTTCCTACCCTTCCTACCTTTCCTGGTCATCTGGCCTTCCCTCCTAATGGAAAGCTACTGGCTGTCCTTGAACTCACTCTGTAGACTAGAGATTCGCCTGCCTCTGCCTCCTGACTGCTGGGATTAAGGTGTGCATCACCGCCAGGGTCCAAGTTCTTCTTTTTCAAGCTCTCTATTTGTTGTTACTGGGTTTTCAAGCCTTCTATCTGAGGCCTAGTGCTTTTCTCTGAGCAATATAAATGTCCTATTAACCATAATGATCACATGAGGACAGACACACCATCAGGCTGCACTGAAGGCTCAGCAGGTCAGAGCAATTTCTGCTCTTGCACAGGAACCGGGCTTGGTTCCCAGCACTCACACCAGAGAGCTCAGAAAACCCTGTAATTCCAGTCCCAGAGGATTCTACAACCTCTTCAGGCCTCCAGAGGTATTCACACTTATGGGGTATACAAATAATAAATAAATGTCTTTGTCTGTAAGGAGACGTTACAAGCTAGTGCGCATGCGCACTAGGTAACTTTGTAACTTTCCAGCCCTTGGTCTCCGCCCCTCCCGTGACTTCATATGGTCCGATCAGCTGACGTCATATGGTACGACGAGCTTCGGCCAGTCAGAGAGTAACACTTCTGAGGCGGCGGTTGCCAGCCTATATAAGGGAGGGGATTTGGGTGTTCGGAGTCTCCGCTCTGTAAGCTTATGCTCTCCCTCTCAAGATGCATTAAAGCTTTACTGCAGAAGGATCCTGAGGAGTGTGCCGCGTGGTTTTTGCTGGCGAGACGGTAGCGCGGGACATTTGTCTGTTTTAAAGACTAGCTAGTTTAAGCCCAGGCAGGCTTCAGGCTCACTTGGCAGCCCAGTCTGGTCTCTGACAGCTTGTACCTTAGTCTCCTGAAGGTTAGGATTATAAGCACACTTCACCACACTCAATGTGAATATTGACTAAGAGTAAATGGACTGCTTCCTTTACTTACTAACCATAACAAATTCCTGCTTCCAAATACACACACACACACACACACACACACACACACACACACAGTCTGCTTGTATATTTGTGTACCTCATTTTGTCTTTTATTTTTAAAAATAATTTACTGATCCACACAGGAATTATTAGAATACAGCGTAAAATGAACAAGAATCATCCTCCAGTCTATGAATCTGGGTTAATATGACAATGCTTCTTTAATTCAGTGGTTAAACATTAAGAAGACATAATAAAAATAACACTGCTTGTTCTATAACAATACTGAGAGATTTCCTTTTAAATAACTCCTTATAGTTGCTTACTCAAATAGTGAGTACACACTGTTATGAAAGTACTCATAGAGAGCAAACAGGAGTCTAAGGCTTGCTTGTGCTGCTCAAGAGACAAACTGAGAATACTTTCTTCCCCAGAAAAATCAAAGTGCACAGTTCTCAAAATCAAGTAACTGGGATGAGAATATGTGGCACAGGGGGCAGCCCTGCCCAATCAGCCTTAACAAAAGGAGTAATCAGTGTATTTACCAGTGCTGCTTCCCAGCCCCACTGCCTGTATCTTGGGTCGTGGGTGAATCGCCATAGATACCAATAGGTTTCAATTACTTCTGGACGGAGGATGTAATACTTTTCAGCTTGCCGCACAGCCACAGCTTCCACTGCACCATCAAACTTGAATGATTCGGGACCTAGTTTTAATGCTGTAATGTGTCAAAAAAAGAAAAGAAAACAGGTTACATAAACAACATGTGTGCTTTAAGGAATACTTACTGTTCTCCCTAAAAGGAAGAAATATGAAGTAATCTTTATCATTTGTGAGTTTTTTTTTTCCCTTCCTATTGTTTTAATTTTTATTTATTTGTTTGGTGTTAAACAAATAAATAATGGAAAGCTACTGGCTGTCCTTGAACTCACTCTGTAGACTAGAGATTCGCCTGCCTCTGCCTCCTGACTGCTGGGATTAAGGTGTGCATCACCGCCAGGGTCCAAGTTCTTCTTTTTCAAGCTCTCTATTTGTTGTTACTGGGTTTTCAAGCCTTCTATCTGAGGCCTAGTGCTTTTCTCTGAGCAATATAAATGTCCTATTAACCATAATGATCACATGAGGACAGACACACCATCAGAGCCTCTCACACACTAGGCTGAGCTACACCCAGCCATGAAGTAACTTTGGGGTATTTTTATCATTTTTATCACTACTATTTTACAAAATGAGTTGTTTCAAAAGAACCACATTAGGTTTACCTCTAACAGAATTACAAATAATTCTATTGCTCTGGCATGAAGTATCTCTCAGAACAATATACATCAACATATCAACATGGGGTGCAATCTGACTCTATCAAGAGCTAAGTGGTACCCTGGAAACCAACCCAAAGGTACCTATAACGTGCAATCCATGAACACAGATACTATTCTGCCCCTTTATTTGTGTCTCCGATTATTTTCATCAATATTTTCTAATATTCAGCATATAGTCTTTCTCTCTTGGATTAAATCAATTCGTTAAGTATTATTATTATTCTTTTGCATGTGTGGTGGGGAGGAGTATACACACAAGTGTGAGTGCACACCCACTGCATTTGGAAGCCAAGGAAAAGGCCTTAAGCATCCTCTTTTATCACTCTCTGTCATGTTCCTTTGAAGCAGCACTTCTTGCTGAATCTTGAGCTTGCAATATTGCAGCCAGCAAGATTCAGCCATCCTCCTGTCTCTACTTGCCAGTGCTGGGGTTAAATTCTCAGGCCTAGGCCTGGCTTTTAAGTGGGTGCTAAGAACTCTGATCCTCAAACCACACCGCAAGCATCAGCACAGAGCCATCTCTCTAGCTCCAATTATTTTGTCATTTTGATGTTATCATAAACAGGGTTCTTTTCCTGATTTCTCCCTCCAACAACCTGCAATTAGTGTAAAGAAATACAAGTGATTTTTACACATTGATTTGTATGCTATCACTGCACTGAATTAATTCATTCACTTTAACAGAGTTTTGTTTGTGTGCATGTGCAGTTTCCATTACAATTTCCAACATTCATAATCATCCCATGTGGAAATCAGGACAATTTTTCTTCTTCCTTTCTGATCTGAATGTCTTTCATTTCTTTTCCTTGTCTGACTATTCTTGCTAGTAACTTCTAGTACTATATGGAACAGACTCTGAATTCAAGGCCATCCTTGGTACAGAATGAGACTCTGTTAAGAATAAACAAACAAAAATATTTTTTTAAAAGTCCAACATCATAAGCACTAAGCAGATTATTTGGTCTAGATTCCTTGTGTGTTTTTTCTTTCCTCTAAAGAAAAACAATTTTTTCAGGATGGATCTGGAAATTACTGTATCTGTGAGGAATCCCACACTCAAAAAGATAAATACCATGCATATTCTCTCTGATGTGAAGATCCCAGCTATGAATTTATATCTGTTTCTGTATAGAGATAGCTAGATAGACAGACATTCAAATAAAGCCATGTATGTATTTACATGGGTCTAATAGGGAGGGTAATAACTGTGGGATACCTAGGTAGGAAGGAGACTAATAGAGGGAGAAGAGAATGTGTGAGGGAAGAGTCTACTGAAACAAAATGTAAAAATGCCATAAAGAAAGCTGTAACTTTGTAGACTAACTTTAAATCTGTTAGTACTAAGAGGTGATCAGATTACATTAGCTAATAACTTCCACAATTATAATGATAGAACATCAGAACTAGAATAGAAATTGCTGTCAGAAATTAACATTGTGAGTTTCTCACTGAAAATTATTTTGCTTAGTGGTCATGTATAACTTCACAAACATACAAGAAAAAGAATATTTTTTTTCCTGTAAAGCCTTATGAATGAAAAAGAGCAAGCATAGAAAATCATGTTTAAGACAAACTGAAACAATGCACCAATCAATAGTGTCCCTTGTGTACATCATACTTAAACTGCTATTAAGGCAGTGCTCGTTTCATCAACAGGTTCAGAAATGCTTCCCATAAACCCAGCTAAATATTATAACTGGCTGTTTTCACCACATGGTGAAACACATTAAGATGATTTAATTTTGAATTAATTTTAATCCTAATTCCAACAATGAATGAAAATGAAAATAACTCCCAAGGCAACGCCTACATTACGAATTAGCAGAAATAATTACGAAGGAGGAGATGGAATTTTTAAAATATGGTGGCCAAAAACTTATAATAGAGCCATAAGAAAATGAAGCATAGAACCAGCTGGGAATGCATAGCAACTAGGACTGTACTTTCTAATCCAGGATCCAAGTTGAAAACAAAGACAATTAAAATCAGTAAAAGATTTAAAAGCTCAAGGCACAATCAAACAGCAAGCTTTTGGAGATACCATGACAAAGAGGCCACAGGTTTAACTTGCTATGTAAAACTGACAATCATAAATGGAGACTGATCAACAGTGCTATTAGAAACTAGAATGTAAGAAATACAAAGGGGTCTTTTAAGTCCTCTGGAATTCCCTGTGGGTCTCAAAGGCAGAGACTGTGACACTTTATTTCACCTGCACCTATCTAGCAGAGCACTCAGCATAGAAGGTGTTCCCTGCTTAATGGAATAAGCAGTTTTAGCAACTACGGCGTAGCTTATTCTTAGTATATCTGCTACTATAAATTTGGTGTTTTAAACCTACCATTTATGGTCAAAATCTTCATAACAAAACCCCAACTTCCCATTAACAAATATCTAGGCAAGTCCTCAATGTCTGATTAATATTAGTTTCACTTTTTACCCGTTTTAATAGCTTACAAAAAACTGGGTTCCACTATGGCATTTTCAAACAGAGTTTGCTTTTGTTGTCTCTCTCCCTTCTCCTCCTCTCTCATACCCCCCATGTACCCTCCCTCCCACATCCATGTAACAATGTCACATGATAGTGTGACCCACCCTTCAACACCACCTGCTCCCTTCCTGTCTCCTATTTAGTTTCATGGCTTCTACCTACTCACAACTCATTATTTACATACATTCAAGCATTAAAAGTTAGAGCTACATGAGTGAAAACACGTGATTTTCATATTTCTGAGACTGGGTCACCTTACTTTCCAGATCTACCCATTTTCCTGAAAATTACAGCAAACACTGCTGGCAAAACTGAATGTCTACCCAGAGAAAAATAACCTTAAACCCAGTTTTCACTCATCCCAAAAGACCAAAGGTGTTAACTCAAAACCTGAACCCCCAGAATTGCTAATGGAAAAGCAGGGGATATATGTGGTTATAGGTACATAAATAAGAACTTTCTAAGCAGGACTTCAATAGCACAGGACATAGTCCTAAGAGGTAACAAATGCAACTACATGAAACTAAGAAGTTTCTGCACAGCAAGGCAAACTATCAATAGAGCAAATAGCCCAGAGAATGGGAGAAAAATCTCTGCCATTTATACCTCAGGTAGGGGACTGATAAGTAGCATATATAAAGAACTACAGAGCTTAAATACCCAAACCAGGAAATTAGCAATTGATAAATGGGTTAATAAAATGAACAGACCTGTCTCAAAAGAAAGTACACAAATTGTCAAATGTTATTTTTAAAAATATTCAGTATCTTTGGGACTCCATCTCACCCTAGCCAGAATAGTTATGATTAAGAAAACACAGCCAACATAGCACAGTAACACTACAGGTGAGTACTGGCACAAATACCCTGGCCGTAACTACATGTTCTCCAATTGGACTTAAGACCCACTTAACAAGAAGGGTACCAGACCTTCTTGTACTAGAAACCTAGCTGACCACTTGGTGCTACTGGAAGCATGCTTATTGGAAAAGAATATAACCACTAATAAATTAGTAAACCTAGCCAGTTAATTCCTAACAGCAATCTATAAACATCTGTCCTTATACCCACAGGCAAATGTAGAATCAACCCTCATCAAGGAAATTTCTCTTTGCAATAGACAGAGACAATTAAAGAAAACCACAGCCAATCAAAAGCATAGTCATAGAGCCAGTACCAAGGGATACATCTATAAAACACCACCACACCTAAGGCTCATGGGAGCCAGGTGCCTGCCTCCACACAAAAGACCAAAGAACAAAAAAAGCCAAAGAATACAAAAAGTAAAAAGGAAACAACAGAAGGAGGAGGAATGCCAGGCATTGGTGGCACACACCTTTAATCCCATCACTCGGGAGGCAGAGGCAGGTGGACCTCTGTGAGTTTGAAGCCAGCCTGGTCTACAGAATGAGTTACAGGACAGGCTCCAAAGCAATACAGGGAAACTCTGTCTCGAAAAAACACACACACAAACAAACAAACAAACAAACAAAACAGGCAAATGAAAAAAAAAACAGAAGGAGGGAGGGAGGGAGGGAGAGAGGGAGGGAAGGAGGGAGGGAGGGAGAAAAAAAGGGAAATAAATAATGAGGAAGATGTGGGGAAGAGGAACCCTTAGTCCTTTAGCCCTATTGGTGGAGTCTAAACTAGCAAAGTCACTATGGAAATCAGTTTGGAGGTGTCTTTGTTTCATTTCCTATTGCTGCAATCAAACACCCTTAACAAATACAATTTAGGAAAGTTTATTTTAGATCTCAGAATTCCACATCACAGTCCATCACAGTGGGAAAGCCAAGGCAGCAGGAACCTAAGGCAGTTAGTCACATTACATCCAGTCAGAACCGGAGTACAACAAATCAACCCATATATACTTGTGTCCACTTGCTTTCTCCTTCTATACAATCCAGGGTTCAAATCCACAGAAGGGTGCTGCCCACTTTTAGGCATGTGAAGATAATTTCCAAAGACCAACCTAATCTGGACAATTCTTCATTGAATCATCCACTCCAACTGATTCTAGATTGTGTCAAACTGGTAATTAAAACTAATCACTAACCACTAGCTAACAGGTGGTTCCTCAAAAAACTAAAAGCAGAACTCCTAGATGAACCAGCTATATCCCTCCTGATACACTGAGAGGACTCGACATCACACTGCAGGATACTTAAGTATCCCTGTTCACTGCTGGCCTCCTCACAGTCATGAGGAAAGGGAGCTAGCCTAGGTGTCCACCAACAGTTGAATGGGAAATAACAATGTAACTCAGATGCACAATGGAGTTTTACCCAGCTGTTAACTACATCAAGTGTATAACTCACACTCCATATTATCACTGAAATAATTGTATTTGTAAATAAGATCATTTGACCTAATGCCAACATTTAACAAACTGAAAGAGCATGTGCTAATATTCTTTTGAGGTACATTGAAAAAACAAAAAACCAAAACACTGGTTTAGACAATGATAGAATTGAAGGGTGAATTTCACCTTAAATTCCATTTCTTACTATACAAAAATAACTCAATAGATTTATGAACAAGGACAAATTTCAAGCCAATTATATCTGTGTCATGGCACTTAATGACAAATTAACCCTGAAACAGAAACTCAAGTTACTTTAGAAAAGCAACAATTCAACTTCTGAAACCACTAATAGAAATTACAAGTTTGTAGGATTCCAGGTCACTAATTATTTCAATAGAAAACCATGTTTGTAAAGCCAAACTACCCAGTGCTCTGTAACCCCTTTCATTACTATGCTCGTAATGAGCCATTCCATATACTGACTATCCATCCGTGAATGCACGTAGTATCTGTGTTTTGAACCAATTCTTGTCAACAATAAAAACCATCTCAACCTCTAAAACACAGAGGATCAGAAAATATTATATATTTTCCCAAAGCAATGACAGAGGATTTTTCTTAAACAAACATATAAAAATTACTGGGAATTAAGCAAAAGACAAACTGTCTGATAGCCAGATGACAACTGTACTTTGGAGGTAATCGCTATTCTCTTTTGGTTCCTTTTAAGAGTATAGGCATAGTGATATAAACTAACAGTTTTGGATTTTTATTCAAAAATAAGTGATATTACCTCAAATATTCTACCTTTTGTGTTTACAACAATTATTGTCTAAATATTACAGAATAAAACAAACAAAAATCCCCCCAGAATTTAGAATTTTTAAAAATGATGTTGGAAACATAGTTTTGGAATTAAAAGTTGAGAAAATTATCTGCTATTTTGTATGCAGTGTTTTGAAGTGAACAGTACAAATATGCTATATTTCCCTCCTAATTTCTGGAAAGCATGTTGAACTGAGATGTTATTTTGGACTAAGTCATTAGCCTTATTATGTTCTTACCAGTTCTGTCATATGACTCGTGACATGTTCGTGCAATTTCTGCCCCTAGTTCTAAATAGTGACCTGCTTTGTCCTTTCTGGAACCATCTGCTCCAAGTGCAAACATTCCCCCAGCAAAGCAGGCCAAATGACCCATTTTCCTTTCCAAGTGTCCATTCTTCCATTCTCCAATGAAGACAAGACCTCCTCGGGATTTCTTAATCAGATGTTTTTCTATAGCCTTCAAGGAAAAGATAAACAATTTTAGACACAACTGTTCTGCTTAGTTTTAACTGTCAATGTGACATATCCTAGAATCACCAAGGAAGACAGTCTTAACAAGGAATTATCCAGGTTGGCCTGAGGCCACAGCCAGTCTATGGGGGACTGTCTGGATTGTCAGTTGAGAAAGGAAAGTCACATTCCAAATACAGCAGCACCATTTCATGGGCTGGCCCTGGACTGTGTAAGAGAGAAGAGAGCTGGCTGAACAAAAGCACACAGGTGTCACGCAGAAAGGCCCTCTCTGCTCTTGGCAGTAGGAGTGATGCTTTAGGCTCCTGCCCTGACACAACAAAGGGCTGTAACATGGGACTACAAGTCAAATAAATCTTCTCCTCCCAGTGCTATTTTTTTGGTAGGGTAATGCCACAGCAACAGAAATGAAACAAGAGCACAAACTGTCAGCACAATGTCTGGACTTTTGGACATCAGAAACCTTGGCAGTAGGATACTTCATAAAGCATTAACTTTCACAAATTGGAGACCTAATTTGTAAATAAAATTTTAATAAGTTATCAAAGTATATATAACCTGGAACGAACATCCTAGTTACTACTGTAAGCAAACCAGGAGAGAAATGGCCTTTGAGTGCTTTTCTGCATGATATTACCCACATAGCTTCTCTTGAGCTAAATGAGATTCATAATAATTAATGGACTGAGATAACCTTAAGAAGTTATAACCCAAAAGGATCTCCCAATTCATTTTCTATTCCAAACAACAAAAACTGAACAGAAGATTGTATAAATCAAGGTTTTAGTAATTAGTTAAAATTGCTCTTAAATTTTCATGAAATTATGCCATTTAGCAAAGTAATTTTAAAAAGTGTGATGCACATGGTGAGGCTTTCAAAACTAGTTGAAAGTTGATATATACATTCCTTTAACTACTCAAAGTTTGGTTTCTCAAAGTAGGGTAATTTGTTTTGGATGTTTTGTCATGGGTAAAGGGAGACGACATCAGAAACAGGTTACTCTCCTGGAATGTGAGTTTTACTAAAGATAATGGGGATAGGTAAGAATATTTTACACTAAAATATAAAGAGAAAGTAGGGCTAACAATCAATCACATTTCATTTTAATAATGATATTTTTAAAATGAGCTTTTTACCCCTAGACCCTGTCCTTACACTGTTGAGAAGGGCCGTGCTTTTCTTTCTGAAATAAGTTATGAACTTCTTCAAGGATTAATTCACATTTTGATTACAGGTTGTTTTCTGACATGTTCAATAATATCCAGTTCTGGAAAAATACACCTTATAGTCTTTGTAATGACAACGTGTGTTTTACAGAATTGTAGGGATTATGCTTTCATCATCATATGTTCCAGAAGGCCTGTTATAATGTGGCATGTACTCAATAAGTAATTTTATAAATAATGGTTCTCTTAGATAATTAGATCTGACTGATAAAGGCAACAATAAGTGGCTGATAATCAGATAGGGTTGACCCTGAATTCTAAGTTTTTTTTTTAATTTTTAAGCATGATATATATTTTTTTCAAATATTAATCTTTTGAATAGATGGGCTAAGTGATATTAACATGGCTCAACATACATAATAACTGCCTAAAGAATTGGCTAATTTTTTTTTTTTTGGTTTGTTTGTTTTTGAGACAGAGTCTTACCATGAAGTTCAGACTAGCCTCAAACTCACAGATGTCTGCCTGCCTTTGGGTCCTCCTGAGTGCTGGGGTTAAAGGTATATACCACCACTGTTAGTATTCAGGCATCTGTACTAGCCTGCCCATGGGGTCCTGACAGGATACTCCCTCAGCTGGTGCCACTAAGAGTACCACCTGTGCCTATTCGCTTTGTTCCTTTTTAAAAGCCCCCCCACCTCCTATCCTTCTCTCTTTAGCTCTCTCTCTCCCTCCCTCCCTCCCCTGCTCCCCTACCCCTCTCTCCTGCTGTTCCTGTTCCCAGAGGCCAGTCTTCCCCCCATTCCCTTTCCCCTTTTTATGATCCCTTTCCCTAATTAAAACAAAAAACAAAATCCTCTGCTTGAACCCTGTCGCATGGTGTCTTTCTCTTGAGCACTGCTTTTCTTAAATTACAACAACCACAACTGGAGAGCTTAACTTTTTGCATAATATTTGCATTGTTTTTTGTCATGTCTGGCCTCTACTACACAAATCTTACTATGCTATAAGACAGTCAAACATGCTCATGAACTTACTAGAACTAAAGAAAGGGTGGGTAAACCCTAAACTACCTATGGGGCCCCTGAGATCGACTTTACTGCACTCTTCTCTCTAAAGAATATAACAATGTCTTACATAAAATGCCAATGGTTGAATGGCAATTAGGGTTAATTATATTACCTTTACATATCTGCACTAGCAATACCATAGCTGCCTTGCTGCCAAAGGGCCATTAAAATGTATATTTCATAGACTACTTTAAAAAATAAAGAGACTGGATGTAAATTTGGTCTAAAACCTCTAACAGCACTAAGATGAAGAAATCAGGATTATAGTAATCTGTAGAGGAGAGGAGCAGGATGGGAATGGAAGCATTTCAAACATTTTCTCAGAAGTATCACATAAATTAGAATGAATCTTAAAACACTATCTCTTCCGTGAACTCAAGTTATTTTACAATTCAAAATACTGTCTCTTAACAGGAGTATTTGCTGAAGATAACAAAATACAAAACTTATATAGCTGAGATCATATTTTGCAATGAAATTTCACCAATTTTTTTTTAAAGCAGGAATCCATTCTAAACTTAAAAACTAATAAAAAACAGAATGGAAGAAACAAATATATAAAGTAATGTTCATATAGTATATGTAATGGAAAATAATTTCAAATTTTAAGATTAACTTTCAAAACAATCACACCTATCCAATGAATATGAATATATATATGTATATATATATAGCACAAACTATTTTAAAAGTGATAATAAAATAATAAAAAATATTTCTTTTTCTTCTGACAAGAAAGGTTAAAAGAACCCATTTTAGGTTAAGAATATAATAAAAAATATAAAGAAAAATCATTAAATAACATGGTAAAAGTCACAATTTTGCGAAAAAAATTAAATATATTCATTTCAAATACTTACAGTACCTATTACAGTTGGGGGATTTGTGCTGGGCACTGAAAGTAACAAACAAATTATTCTCTATTCTTTAAGAAACTAGGGAAACTAACTAAGGACTATTTGCAATACATCACTCTGGTTCTAAATATTCTAGAAAATTCTTAGATCACAACTTTTCAGGATCATTTTCTTTTTTTTTTTTTCTTTCTTTTCTTTTTTTCTTTTTTTTTTTTGTTTTTGTTTTTGTTTTTGTTTTTTTTGGGACAGGGTTTCCTTTGTGGCTTTGGAGGCTGTCCTGGAACTAGCTCTTGTAGACCAGGCTGGTCTCAAACTCACAGAGATCCGCCTGCCTCTGCCTCCTGAGTGCTGGGATTAAAGGCGTGCACCACCACCACCACCGCCTGGCTCAGGATCATTTTCTAGGCTTAAATTTGAACAGAGAAAATTTTGTAGCTTTTTGAAATTTAAGGCTTCATAAAAATTTTAGAAATCACATGTTTAAATTTAGATTCTTCATTAAACTTTAATTCAATTTATTAACTAATCCCTCATGAAATGTTTTTTGAGTGACTACAGTAAGCAAGGCAGCGTGTATCACACATTAACTTGCATACCAGAGCACCTTTAAAAACAACGGCAGTAAATCAGCTACCAACAAAATAAAGGATATAAAATGGGTAATGAAGATTTTTGGTTTGATTTTTAAACTTACAAAACTATAATGCTGAAGATAGATGATTATATCAGAAGGATTGCGTTATATTAAAATCATCAAGGAGATACAGATTTACAATAGGTCAGAAAGTCAGTAACTTATTAAATGATTAACATTTTTCTATTTTTTAAATTATTTCTTAGAAATTTCACAGAATTAACTCCAAGGTTTTAAGCTGTCATTCATGTATATATCTCAAACAATATAAAGCAGTGATGAAGAGGACAGGCTCAGCTCCAGACTCTCAGCTCTGTGACCTTCACCAAGCCACGTGAGCACTGCCACAGTGTCTTAAGGTCTTCACATGTCAAGTAATGACAATAATCAGATGGAATCATCTATGTAAACGGGCTTGAACAGTGCCTGGCACAGAGGAGGCAACTCACAAGTGGGCACCATGACGTTTCTTTACTCAAAGATTCTCAATATGTGGGCTTAAACCATCACTTTAAAGAAGAAATGTTTACAGATAAGGATGAAGTCGGTAGTTTTACCAGTCTCTGTAGAAATTAACAAACTGTAATTAAAACAATGTTTATATATACACTCACTAAACTCTTCAATTTTCTTTAAAGTGTCATAAATAAGAGTTGATGTAAGGACTATTAAAATACTAACAAACTGCAGTGAATGAACACAATGTTTATGATATATATATTTCCTGGATGCCTATAATTAAACAGTTAATCTGTTCAGTCACTATCTAATACTCAACACATATATTCACTGTAAGAAAAAAGTCAAACAATAATCACCTCAACAGCATCATCATACATCCTTCTTGCCTCATGGTCTGTTTTATCTGACATCAGCCACGCTTTCAGTAAGTATTCATAAAAACTATCTCCCAGGCCACCAACTGATGTGTGATCTGTAGCAAAAGAGAAAAGAGGGTTTGGGTAAGGGAAAAGATGATAAAAACAATTCAAATAATATTTTAAATAATAAATACCATTTAGCAGATAAATTAATCATAGTGGCATGGCTATTGGCTCCCCTAATTTTCTAGGGAATCTTTTCTTCTCTGTATGTGGTATTTTACATTGATGAGTCTTTTTCTTAAATCATATAGTTTGTACATTGTTGTCCATCCAGACTTTTGCAGAAGTAAAATAATCATCATCTATACAATAGTGGCTTTAAATATACAACAATTTAAAATGACACTTATACTTGTTACTAAACAAAGGGCACCGACTCCTAAACATCTCTATACAACAAGGTCTAGTGGTGAATCTTGTTTGGAAGGCAAGATTCACTTTGTAATATATTTTCCTTAGGTTTTCAGTTCTGTCCTTAATATTTTTCACATATTAGTACACATTGCTTTTCATAGGTATACTCTTACCTATCACTTACACTTTTAAACTACAACACCAAGGAAGGCACACTGTCATGCCTTACTTCCCACAAATCTGGCTGTACATCACGGGATTTTAATCACAAAATCCCCATTGTCTCAGTACAAAAAGAAAAACACCCTAGCACGTATAAACCTTTCAACCAATCAGACAGTACTATCACAGGAAGGTGTCTTATGAGAAAAACTTGCAATTTGGTTGCAGGAAATGACATGTTAGAATTTATCTTTTAGATCACAGAATATACCTGTGGAGTATTAGTATAAAACTACAAGTAAAGCAGAAGAGAATATATTAATACTTCCGGTTTTCCTAGGCAGATGCTCTTAAACACAAAATGAAGGAGTCAAAAGTAAAAGTTTTAACTTTCTATGGCACAAACTAAATTTAAGACAAATAATAAGTCTGAAAGAAGAAATTGAATAGAATGTAATTGCAACATACATGACAGGAAAAAGTGTAATGCTCTAAGCTAAGACCTCTGGTAAGAAAAACAAGACAAAGGAAAGAAGGATATAAAAATTAACAAAAGAAACAAGACTGTCATTACCTAAGAAAACGCACTCAACTCCAGTGGTCAGAGAAAAGCCAAGTAAAATAACAAGATTCTATTACTGTTTAGCAAGTCCCCAGGAATATTTTTAGATTTTTATCAATTATTTATTTGTGTATATAAATAGGCATATATATACCACAGCATGTGTATATGGGGGGGACTCTCTCCTTGCACCAAGTTTGTCTTAGGAATCAAACTCAATCTTCAGGCATCATAGCAAGTGCCTTTACCTACTGAGCCATCTTGGCAGCCCAAATAGGGAGGGGAAGAGGGAGGGAGGGAGGAACAAAGAGGAAGAGGAGAGGGGGGAAAGAGGAAGGGAAGGAGAGAGAATTGTCATCTGTCTGTCTGTCTGTCTGTCTGTCTGTCTATCTATCTATCTATCTATTTATCTATCATCTTCCAATCTACCTACCTACCTACCTACCTATCATCTTCCATAAAGGTTTGAACCCAGGCCTTGTATATGCAAGGTAAGCATTCTACCACTGTTTTATATCCTCAACTGTCCTCGAGCATTTTAAAAGACATAATATTCAGTGCTGACAACATAATTCAAATTGTTGGGACTGGAGGTAGATACCAAAACTTAATATAGGACCCTAGTTCTGGAAATATTTTATAATATTATCTGAAAAACACAAATACAGGGGTAAAAATACCCAACATAGAATTACTTCCATTTGTAAAAAGTTGAACTAGCCTGAACTATCTAGGGAAATTGAGTATAAATATAGTACTATACGATAATTAAAAAGAATCCAGCATGTCTGTGATCTCACATTGAAGGGTATCTATTTTTATACTGTTAAGTGTGGAAAGGGAGCAGCTCTGAATATTTATAGTTTGACATTGCTAAAAATTATATATTAAAGAATGTTAGGGTACAAAGTCTTTGAACAGAATTGCTAACAGTGATTATCGGAGCACATGTAATTTCATGTAACTCAAAATCAACTTCTATTGTAGAAAACAAATGGGTGAAAGGGCTATCATTTACACTGTTAAGCAATACATTCAATGTTCCCATAGCTCCCATATACCTGAAACACCATTTTATGTCACTATTTCCCTGAAATTATAAGCAAATATGTTGATGAATTTTAATACAATGTACATCACTAAGATCACACAGCTGTAAGTACACACCATTCCCAGCATCCTAACAGACTTCACACAACCTTCAGTGAGCACTCAATCCCTGAGAACAGCTTCTCTAACCTGTGTCACCATATTTCCTAAGTAATACAATATAAAAATGTCCATTTACTAACTTAACGCTGCTAAGAGCTATCTCTTGTTTTCTACCTAAGTATGTAAAGGAACGTTGCTTTGCTTGAGTCTCTTAAAGTTAACTGAGCATCACAGAAGATGGCTGGAGGGTAAGACATGGCTGTGAGATGATAGCTCACTCAATTTCAGACTAAATACATCTGTAACTACATTTCTAATAGGTTACAATATAGAACATGTCTACATTTAAGAATTCTATGGTGGCCAAGTGATGATGGGTTTATAGGGTAAAAAAACAAAACAAACAAAAAAACTGCTAACATCAACATTTTATAATCAAAAAAGGCATAATAGTCTGCTACTATAAATATTGAAGCAATACAGCAATGAAATAGTAGATGAGAAGAGTCACAATGGGGCAGAGACTGCCAGTCCTCTGGGGACTGTTTGGTAAGAAGCACAGAAACAGCAGTGTTACATCTGGAGAGGAACCATTTTAAAACAAGTGGATCAAAATGAGGGCACAGTACTGCCACCAATTTCAGTCTCAACTTTGTGGTTACGTCAGAATGTCTTCATTCCTACAGAACCATTACATCTCCTTCACATCTTCTCACTCCACCAAGGACTCACTTATCATGAGGTTTATTTGCTGTGTTCATACTTCATCATTACTTTCTTGCATAGCTCTTAGTTTTCTCTGTTTTCTGGCCACCATGCTAGTGTTTATCATATTTTTTATTGTTCACTACTGTCTAGCTTCTCAACAACAGGACCTACTATATCTGCAATTCTATATCTTGGTCTACACAGGATTTACTGAATTTCTTGAGTAAATGCTTAAGAAAAAGCATGTCAGACAAAACACCTTACTGTTTGGAATGGTTTTACTATATTCCCACTTCATTTTATAGTATATGGGTATTAAGTTCAAGGGCAGAAACAATTTTCCCTCAGAGTTTCTTCAAAGTACTGTCCTATCACTATTTAAAATCCACTCTTATTAGTAAGAAACCTGATGCCATTTTTCAGGTTCAATATATTCCTATTTCCTTACATTCAACTTTGCTTTCCAGAGCTTAGAATCTTCATTTTAACATTAACTACATTTAAGTACCACCACCACCACTACCAAAACAACTACAATGACCACCACCACCACCACCACAATCCCCATCACTACCCCAGCCACTAACCCCTGTATGCCAAGCACTACTCAAACTAAAGACTGGTTATTTTTCAATTATTGGATAATTATTTTCTATTGTTCTTAGTAATTATCTCTATTCTTCTCAGTTCTCTCTTGATCTAAAGAGGCTCACCTTAGTCAGGTTCAAAAAAAAAAAAATGGTGAATTTTAAGCCTAGGAGTTTAGAGTGATTTGCTACTTAGCAGCAGGTAAGCAGTATTTTGTCTTTGGGGGCTAAAGGCCACATAGGAAATTACTTTTTGTGTAACAGTGGTGTAGGTCACTGTAAAAGAGTTAGACTTACTGCAATGAAAAGGGATTGGGAAGTTGAAAGGTTCATATAAAATTTCGGGAAATGGGAAAAAAGAATTCAAGAAGTAGGAAAAGATGATATTAGGAACACAATCAAAAGGTCAGTACAATGGACAGTACACTCTCTGCAATTAGATAAATAAAGGTAAAACCAACTGAGTTAATGCCCTGACTGGTAATGAGACTTTTTAAAGTACTTGGGATACAATTCAGGATTCAAACATAATGGGCAAGTGCTCTCTACCATGAAGCCACACTTCTGGTTCCATCTTTACTTTTGTTTTGATTTTGTACATAGGTCATCTAGGTACAGAAGAAATGCAAAGAGCTATGGTGGCTGTGATGGCATTACTAGAATGTGATAAAAGAGGAAGTGTGGAGCTAATTGGAGGAAGTGGGTACTTGAAGGTGCCGTGTTATTCAGAGGCAAGGGATATGTTACCTATTTTTATTGTTGTGATGGCTGTCTCAAGTGTGATGTTTTGGAACTTGCTATTAACATTTTCCAACAGCTTGCTGCATATTAATTATATTTTAATAAAGCATATTTTTAAACAAAGAAACAAAAATAATATTTAAAATCAGTAGAAACCCAACAAACTTGTTTGTTTTACCTTAGATTTTAGAATGTCAAGATTTTCATACTGAAAATTTCAAAACTCTACATATTCTGATACTAAAAATACACATAAAAATTGTCAACAAAGTTGAAAATAGGCAACAAGAAAAAAAGAGGGCTGGTAGGAGGATCACACAGAAAATATAAAGAAAACAAAGAATAGGGAATAAATTATCTAAGTAACAGAGCTGAACAGCAGTGATCCAGTGGGAACTGGACACCACACATGTATGGCAACTTATCTAAACTACTTGGCTAATTGCATGAATGGAAACATGTGGGCAGATAAGAGGGCAATAACATGAATATTCATTCTCTTATTAGTGTGGCTCCTATGCAACAGAGGATGAACAGGAAAGAAGTAACAGGAACAGCTCCTGTCCCGGCATTATAAACGCTGCTCCATTGCTCTTCTGGTGTATCCAACCAACACAATCACTCTGGATCAACTCAGCTGTCTCCTCTACTATTAGCACCAAACTCACAACATCCACCATCAAAGAAAACCTCAATGTTGCCCATCATCTCCTTTTTTGTTTGTTTAAGATAGGTTTTTCTTTGTGTATTCTGGATGTCCTAGAACTGACTCTGTAGACCAGGT